ATTCAACAGACCACTCCGACAGTTTGTTGAGGTCGTCTTGCAAGGTGGACGTATCACTGTTGCCCTTCAGCTCCCTCCAAATTTTTAAGTCATCTGCGTATAGGACCATAGGGGAGTCGGTCAGCAGAGGTAACTCATTGATATACAGAATAAAAAGGAGAGGACCGAGAACCGTGCCTTGTGGCACTCCGCTACTTACTGCTGTCCAGGAGGAGAGTTTTGAGTTGATCCTAACCCTCTGCCTCCTATCTATGAGGAATTCCCTGAGCCAGTCTAGTAGTCTGCCTTTGATACCAAGACTTTCCAATTTCATGAGTAGTCTTTTGTGAGGTACTTTATCAAAGGCTTTACTGAAGTCTATGAAGACGACGTCAACGGGTCTTCTGTCATCCTTTGATTTAACCCAGCTTTCTCTTGCAGTCAGGAGATTTGACAGGCATGAGAGGTTCCTCCGGAAGCCATGCTGTGCTCCAGATAACAAGCTGCTATTTTCCAGATAAGCCATGATGCTTTTCTTGATAATTCTTTCCAGTGTCTTGATTAAAGTGCTGGTGAGACTGATAGGCCTGTAATTTGAAGGGCTTTGTCTTGATCCTCCTTTGTGTATGGGAGTTACTATGGCGTCTTTCCAATCACGTGGCAACACTCCATTTTGGAGAGATAGCTTGAAGATCGTGGTCAAGGGGCCGGCTATGTGGGCTGATAGCTCCTTGAGAAGCCTTGGATGAAGACTGTCAGGACCCATTGATTTTCCTGCATCTAGTTTCATTAAGAAGTTGAGCACGATGCCTTGGTCGATGTCAACGGAATCTATCCCATGTTCTTCTGATGCAGCCAGAGCTGATCCTATAGGCAGTGATGACTCCTGAGTGAAGACTTGGGAGAAGTAGTTTGCCATTGCTTCTGCTTTTTCTTGATCTTCTTCGATTGTATCTTTGTCAATAATCAGGTTTGGGACACCATTGGGTGTTTTATTCCTGAAATTCAAGTACGAGAAAATTTTCTTAGGTTGTGCCTTTGCATTTTGGGCCAGGTGTGTCTCGAACTTCATCCTTGATTGGCGGATTTCTGCGATAGCTTTATTTCTAGCAGTAGTATATAATTCCCTGGTCTCAGAAGTCTCAAGTGTTGCAAACAGGTTCCAACATTTGCGTTTACGTCTGAGTAACTTACGAATCTCCCGGTTTATCCAAGGGGGGGAATGTTTCCGACCCTTTGGAACAGACCAAGGGATGAAGGGTACAGTTACTTGGGCGTAAAGTTGCTTAAATTGGTTCCATGCGGCTTCTACTTGGGACTCTGGATTGATGTACCAGTTTACTGAGTTGGCTGCTGAGACGATCGCATTTATGTCAGCTTTCCAAACGTTTGGTCGAGCTGGGGTTTTGGCCCTTGCTGCCGTTGCTGTGAACTTGAAAGTGAGCACAGCATGGTCACTTCTTCCTAACGGAGGAAGATGTTGTATGAGATCCACATCCTCACCGTGTGAGAACACTAGGTCCAGAGTTGATGAGGAGTGCTGTGAGTCATAGCGCGTGGGCTTAATGATATGTTGGACTAGGGCTAGCGATATACTAGATTCTAGCAGTTTATGGTCAAAGGAGTTGACTGAAGATGGAGTTGTTAGGCTCGACCAGTCAACTGTTGGGGCGTTGAAGTCACCGACTACGAGACTTCGACATTTTGAAGTCCAGGAGCCTAGCTTCTCTATTAGGAAGTCGTCTGCACTGCAGTCAGGACTGCGGTACACAGCAATGAGGTCAATGTCTTGGCCTATGCATTTAAGTCTGCAGCGTAGAAGTTCGCACGACTCACTTTCGTGGGCGAGTGCTTCGATACTACGCACGGTTAAGCCTTTCTTGAGGTAGATGACTACGCCCCCTCCTTTGCGGTTTAGTCGGTCTACCCTGTGCACTTCGAAGTTTGGCAGGTTAACTTCGTTGTCAGTGACATCGGGTGTGAGCCATGTCTCTGTGATAATAATTACATCCGGGTTTCCGGTTTCTATCATGTTTGCCAGCTCAGTCCTTTTATTTAACAGGCTGCGGGCGTTTGTGTAGCAGACTGTTAATTCAGATTGGTGCTTCCCCGGCCCACCCACAGAGGTTTCGGGATCATTAAACTGCGAACTCGGACAACCCGAAAACCCTTAATCTTAAGGTTCTTTTCACCGTTCCGGCGTCGCTCACTTAATTCTAGTGCCGCAGCCTGTCTTTTGACACGATCTGCCAGGCTTAAGTCAGCGCGGACATATATCCCTGATCCTTTGAGAATATGAGAGTTGCTTAGAATAGCGTCCCTCTCCGCTTTAGAGTTTAGTACGACTTTGAGGAGACGTACAGGTTCACTTACTGTAGGGTCAGGCTTTAGACCTATTCTGTATACGCTGTGTATAGTAATGCCTGATACTGTTTGTGGCAGTAGTTTGTCTAAGAGGGGCTTGACCAAGTTAAGGTCATGCTCGAATCTGGTCTTAGGGTCGAGAGCCAGTGACTCCTCCACTTTGTGGAGAATGAGAGACCTATCAGAGAGATCGGGTTTGCTTTCCGTTACTTTCTTGCCCTGAGGCGTAAGTGTGTTTCTATCCTTCTTGGGCGGTGTGGCCGAAGTGTTATCCTTATCTCGCTTTTTGCGAGAGACTACGGTGCGCCATTCATTGGCGTCCTCCTCGCTAATCTTAGTGGGGTTCGTCTGTCTGCTGCTCACCGGTGTGGATGAGGCTTGTTCCGCCAGTCCCTGGGCGACTGGGGCTGCAGGTTTTCGACCCCTAGTACGCCTCTTCTTCACGGCAGTCTTTCCATTACCGTCACTGGAGGGCTCATCCAGTATCGTGGGGGCGACCTGGGTGTCTGTAATATGGTGGGTGTTCTTCTGTGCTGTAGAGCACTCACTTATTGGCAAGGTCGCATCTGGGACATGTGCTGTTTTGTCAATGACGCTAGTCACGTCATCGCTATCTGAGCAATAGTCGGTATTCTTCTGTGGTGGAGGACGCTTGCAGTCCATCGACATCGAAATGCTTGTATTCTGTGAAACTCTTCAAGTGCTATTTCTAAAGCCATACGACTCATACAGATCACAGCTCTCAGACTGCCTACAGCTCGGAGATTTAGTTTTACGTAAGGTTTCGAGACGTCATTTTCTTTAGGAATGTTTGGTGTAGTATATGCGTATCTTTGTTAACTTTTAATATACATATGCTTGTCTATGTATCCAATTTCCCGTTATTGACGAGTGTGACGGGACAGAAAGCTATGTGCTTGTCATCAGCTGTGGTAATTTGGGCTGGTAATAGCTTGATAATCTTGTGTAGTAAGTCACTTCACCGACGTTGACATGTTGCTTAGTTGTCTTATTATTATTAGGAAGTATCGAAACAACTGAGTTGTCGTGAAGTCGCTTCCTGCCATGCAACCTCTATATATTTTTTTGCCACCACCGCTTTACTGTGTTTACCGCCCTTACGCGGTCCAACATAATTTTATCTCTCCCCCACCATGCTATTTGAACATAACGTTAGATTCAATAATTTATAGAATGCTAAAATGTGCAGACTGAATCGATGGTAGTGTTTGAAACAAACCGCCTGTTATTGTTGTTGTATTTACTATTATTCTCAATTTGTACTTCGAATATTTTTGACTTTATGCTGTAAATGTGGACAAATTTATGTAGTAAGATTTATTTATATTTCGAGTAAATCAGATGCTATATTGTGACAAATGCTGAGAATTCCATTTTGTATTATAAGTGTTGTTTTTTGGAATAAATTGGATTATTGTTATTCTTATTATTAAATACCTGAGTTCCAATTAGTGGGTTATGGCTTTGAATCGCGGTTCATCCACCTCATCTCGGTTAACTGGGAAGTATTGCCACCCCCTCTCCTCACACATAATAGGCTGATACGTTCTTATTAGTAATCATGGCTAAGGTGATTTTTCAACATAAGACTTTTCACCAAGGTGCATTTGTCCAAGTTGTCACGCTTCACGAAGCACGCAAATTTGAAGAGCCTTCCACTGATATATTGTGTTCCGATGGCTTTAGCCTCATCGGGGAGAACTGGTAGGCTTCATACAGAAGTTCCTGAGTAGCATTCTTGTCGTTTTGTGCGAGTATTAGTGGTATTCGAAGTGTATTTGTTTATTCATTTCACAGCTAACATCAAATGGCTGGTTTTCGTGTTTCGGGAACCTTCCACAAGCGAACCTCTTTATATGACTGTGAGTAATCTCGAAGGTTTGGCCAACAAAGTTGGAAGAAGTGGAGTCTGTGATTTTCAGTGTAGTTCAGAAAAGGCTAGGAAAATTCCTTCTAGCTGTGGTCTTCGCCTGCTCCGTTCTGAGCTGAGAAGGGCTGATACAGCATCTACTGAACCTTCATGTCTGCGATCTCTGTCTCACGTTAGGTGGTTTCACAAGATAAGTAATGTTGACGTTAGGCGTAGAGTGTTGGGCAAACAGGGAAAATCAATCGACGAGGTTATAAAGTTACATAGACTAAGATGGCTAGGTCACGTGCTGCGCATGCCTAACCACCGCCTCCCCCGACGGGCATTGTTAGCTGATATAGGTTCAGGTTGGAAAAGAGCCAGTGGTGGCCAAACAAAAACATGGCATCAATCCATGAAATCCTTGACAGTTAAACTGAGTCAGGTAGGGAGATGCAGACTTCCGGGTTGGGGCCCTCGGGACTCTAGGAATCAATGGCTGGAGACAATAGGTGACATGGCTCAAAATCGTTGTCAATGGCGCAGATGTATTCAGTCTCTGTAATCTTTCATATTCCTTTCTACCATTACCCATTCTGTTTCACTCTCATACTTGTCAAACTCTAATGATTCTCTCCACTCATCTTCTTGTCTACCTCTGTGTGCTATTTGGAAGGTGGCAACTCGAACTGCTGCACTTCGGTGCCAAGTTCTATGTTGAATCCAGACTGAACCTTCAGTCATAAATCGAATAAATACTCTTACGAATGACGACTTCCAGTTGAAAATGAATTCTGGCTCTGCAACGCAGGAAAGCAACGTAAATTGTAGAGGAAAATCGAAAACAAGTGAAGTAAGTTATAGATTATTGTGCCTATTTTATGAGTAGTCCTCATATACTGAGTTCTAAAACGTACTCATTTTTAGCCGAAAAGTTAGTGGCATAGCTTCATGGTTTATGCGCTCCTAAATTTTGAGAAGTCTAGTAGCTTGAAAATATTTTTTTAAGACACGTTGATATCAAGCTCACAGTACTGGAGATGTATGTTCTATGGTCCTTGTGAAGTGTGGTGTAATATGGTATAAAATCATGTGATTATGAGCAGTAGTTTGTGCTCGAAATGTCATTAGTTAATATTACTGTATAACACTGTGATTTATCAAAATCAAATCTTATCTACAATGGAGTTATACTCTACCAAGGTGCCGAAGTTTTATGGCTATTTTGAGGTTAAATGTAGTGGTAGGTAAGGGAGATATTGTGAGGCTACACCTATTGAGATGACTTGAACATGTTGCATGCCGAACTACATTCTTCCCCTACGAGCAATCGTAGTTGATATAGGGTTTTGTTGGAAGAGTGGGGATTTGCCAAATGGAAACCCAAGAGTGATTGACGAAGACTTTGACATTTGCTTTGAGCCACGTAGAGGGATGTAGACTGCCTGGATGGAGTCCTCGGGTTGCCTGGAGGGTATCGGTGATATGGCTCAAAATCGTCCTTAAGGACGCGGGTGCATCCACTCTCTATGTTCTATCAAATACATTAAGTCCTTATTAAAGTTTAAGTCTTCTTACCCTGGTACTATGTCCTCGTAGTCTTTTCCACTGCACTTGAAATTGTAGTTTAAGAGAGATCGGCTTCACGTACCGAATGTTTCAGTCACCTTAGATAGTGTATCACAACCTTATTGTATTAAATTAAATTTTTCATCGGGTTTTCAAGATTGTGCATTTTACAGTTCATTATATATGTATGAGTGCCTCATTGGCTGGGGCACTAGACTTACAGTCTGTTAGTCGTGGGTTCGAGTTCCGCCCCACCTACTTGAATCCGGACAACTGGGTGGTATTTTCATCTCTCACAATCCTCACAGTCCAGTCTGGTAGATGAAAAATGTGTGTTCTGAACAACTGAGGTCAAACACTGTATCTTTAAACTGTTATAGGACAAGACAACAGGGACTGCAATGCAACGTCGTGGTTTGCTAAGGTCAATATTTAATGAGCTTTAGACGAGGAATTAACTTCACTTTACTGTTTGTCGTTGAATTAATTTTATCAGTTGACAAATGGTTCATTTAGTCGATCGATATCTTAAGATTAGTTCACTTTACTGACGACAACAAGGTTTAGTGGAACTGTAGTCCTATATTTTTATGTAGGTTCCCAAACTGTTTGCCAATTATATATTTATTCTCCTTTTCTCCAATTAACATCAAATTTTCATTAGAATACTTAAAAAATTAGGTGTAATTTACTAAGAATTTAAACAAAATTGTATTTTTATGTGTTGATCACATATCCATTTATATTTGTTCACAACGATTTGTCTAATTCAACGACTTATTTTTCCCTGAAGTTGGACGAGGAATGTGACGAGTTAATTATAATACATGAAGAAAATACTTCTAATGTGGCCGCTCAACCTCCCAGTGATAATGTGCAAGCAGAATCGACTACGAATTGTGACGAAGACTCCTTGTAAGTGAAACTTTTTTTTGTGCCTTAGAAAGCAGTTAGTCATTTCGGTAGCCAATACAAAACTACACTAGTTGCCTAAAGTGATTGATACTTTGCCTTTCCTTAAAATGTTGAGTGTTCGTCTTCACAGCCACTGATGACCACCTCACATTGCTCACATTACTTAGATTTTAACTTAATTTCACTCCTTACTATCCAACATACTTGCAAACCAGCATGTTGCTAAATTACTGTTTACATCGGGATTCTCGGACTCTTAACATAGCTAACGTGATATGACATTTGAAACTGTCTACATCAACCACAATAGGCAACATCGTGTTTAAGATCTTTCCCCTCTTTTTTCATAAAAGTATGGGATGCGTATTGCTTATATCATTTAGTCAAATAAATGACTAGTTTTCATTATCACTATCGAGTCATGAGCATCACTTGACAGGTGTTACTGAAAACAATTACGAATGTTGTAGCATAGAACTTTTTACATGAAAGCAAGCTTTCAGGTTACACAACTTATGGTTGTCAACCTTAACTATTATCTACTAATCACTCAAGCCTAAAATAGAGGTTTCGGATTGTGAGGGCGATTGTTACTTCCCGGCTGCCCTCACCGTGGAAGTCGGTTGCGTGACCGCAGAGCCCAGGGGACAACTGCTTGAGGCCGGTCACACGCGGCCTGTTTTTGTTTGTTCTGTTTTGTTTGGTGTGTCTCAGTAGCAGATTTATCACTCCTGCCCTGTGACACGGCAGCAGGAAGCGCGGTCGTTGTTAATCCGGGCCACGGCCGATTCGGCATGAAATTTTGTGATTTTGTATTGGACATGATGTTGGATTGGGTAGCTGCTTTTTGTTTAACCGCTATCCAAACAACCTGCCTGGCATGGTAGTACCTCAAGAGACATAAGTCTCAGCCAGTATAGCTTGAATAGATCATTGCGGTGTTCAAGCCCGACCACCACGTCAAGGTAGCAGCTTTCGGTCGGGCAAGCCTGAAATATGTTTGAGGAAATAAAAGTGTATTATCTTCTCACTTTATTGACTTGTTCATTAGAAATATCAGAGTAGAACTGTTGCTTACCGCATGACTCTTAGAACACAATTTATTGTTTCTGAATGTGTCAAGTGGAATTCCACAGATGTATGTTTGGAGTAATCATGGTGACCAGTATTATGACGATAAATTCTGTTTGTTATAATATCAGTTGCTTGATATTGTTTCACTGTCTTATGAGTGAAGCGACATAGTGTTGAATACCACAGGACTCAAGTTCTTGTGTTTTATATTTCTTAAAATATTTTAGTGTACATATTAGTGTGAAATTCAATTGTTCGTATTCGCAGATCCCTAGTATCATTTGACAGCTCAGATATTTATTATATCTACTGACAGCTTGCATTATTAGACGAATTATTATGCCGAAAATGAACGGATAACTAAGGCGCCTTCATTTTTATCGTTTGGAAATGGTTTCAGGTGATTAAGATTCATGTTCTATTGTTGGGGAGACAATTAGGAGGTATGAAACAGGTAAGCTCTTCTGCATGGATGGATGGATTGGCATATTTTACACAATAGTAGCATTTTATGGAAGAAGTCAGTGTATATTGATTCCCCTGTGAAGTAAAAGTTGCTTACGATCAGTCAGTCGCATAAAACGTTGATCAATGCTCACAAATGAAGCAAATCTTGTTATCTAGTGTGTATGCGGGTTGTATTCAGTAAATATGACTTTTGTTTTGCTCTAATCTAAAGATTTTATAAGACGACTACTATTTGAAATTTCCTTAATTATTATTTTCAGTAAATTTGATTATAAGTCTGCTGGATCTGTTGATGGTATAACATTGACGAAAAGTGATCTTCAGTGTCTTGAACCTGGAGCTCTTATAAACGATGCAATAATAAATTTTTATCTGAAATACTTGTACTTCGAGCAAGTATTTCAGATAAAAATTTATTATTGCATCGTTTATAAGAGCTCCAGGTTCAAGACACTGAAGATCACTTTTCGTCAATGTTATACCATCAACAGATCCAGCAGACTTATAATCAAATTTACTGAAAATAATAATTAAGGAAATTGTACTTGTACTTCGAGCAGCCCGACCGAAAGCTGCTACCTTGACGTGGTCTGTTTGTCTGTTTTCAACATAGAACTTTGCACAAATGTGGGGAAGTTCAAGTCGCCACATTCCGTGTAGCACGCGAAGCAAGAGAAGAAAGTACAAGAAAAGCATAATAGAAACAGTGAGCAGAGGTGTGAGACAAAGGAGTAATAAAGAAATACAAAACAGTTTCATTGAAGATCATAAGTCACAGGGAGTGGATACATCTGCGCCACTGAGAACGGTTTTGAGCCATGTCACCAATTATTTCCAACCATAGATTTTTACCGTCCCGAGGACCCCAGCCTGGAAGTCTGCACCTTCCTACGTGGCTAAGACCAACTGTTGTGGATTTCATTGACTGATGCCAAGTTTTTGTTTGACCGCCGCTAGCTTTTTTCCAGCCTGACCCTATATCCGCTAATATAGCTCGTCGAGGGAGGCGATGACTTGGCATACGTAACACATGTCCTAACCATCTCAGTCGATGTAGCTTCACGACTTCGTCGATTGATTTCCCCTGTTTACCTAGAACTCTACGCCTAACCTCCATGTTGCTCACCTTATTATGCCACTTTACACGGGAAATAGAACGCAGGCACCTATGATCAAAGGCAGCTAGTCTTTTCATGTCTTCCACTCTCAGTGGCCAGGTCTCACAACCATAAAGGAGGACGGAGCGGACTGATGAGCAGTACACCCGCCCTTTGGTCGATAGTCGAACATCTCGTCTACGCCAGAGTCGGCGTAAACTGGCAGATGCGAAACGAGCCCCTTGTATTCGTGCTGAGATTTCGTCAGAGATCAGCCCGTTGGGGCTGATGGTACTTCCCAAATAAGTGAAGCGGTCAACGTGCTCTACCACTTCACTTCGTATTTTTAAACTAGGCGTCGATGTAGTCCAGTCCTGTAACATCATCTTGCATTTGGCGGGAGCGAATCGCATGCCAAACATTCGTAGATTGCTGTTCAAGGTGTTTAGAAGACTCTGCATTTTGTCAGCGTCTTCGCCTAGAAGGACTATATCGTCTGCATATTCCAAGTAAACGAGATTATTCCCAGGTAGCAAGTCAATCCCTGAATCGCTGAAGTCACCTAGGGTTAAGTCCATTAACACATCTATGATGAAGTTGAATAGAAAAGGAGATAATGGGCATCCTTGACGGACACCACTGGTCGTCATCAGTTCAGATGACAGCTCGCCGTAAGCCCTCACCTGGCTGTATGAGTACGAGTAGAGTGCCTTAATCAGTGGAATATATTTTCTTGGAGTTCCCTTTACAGCCAAGCATCTCCAGAGAACTTCCCGATCGACAGAGTCGAATGCTGCCTTTAGGTCAAGAAATATAATGACTGTTGGACGCCGGTAGGAATGCCTATGTTCTAGAATCTGTCGGAGGGTGAAGATATGATCAATACACCCTCTTCCTGGTCTAAAGCCTGCCTGGCTCTCTCGTGTTTGTGCTTCCCGAGCACCACTCAGTCTACGCATGATTATTGAGCCTAAGACTTTAGATACTATATTAGTCAAGCTAATCCCTCTGTGATTATCACAGGAAGACTTGTCTCCCTTCTTGTATATGGGGATAATCAGTGACTTACACCAACCCGATGGGACTTCTTCTGATTCCCAGACGCTGCCTAGTACCTCAGTTAATCCGGACAGTAAGCTGTCTCCACCGTACTTAAATACCTCTGGAGTCATTCCATCAGGTCCCGCTGCTTTGCCTAGTTTCAGATTGGTGACAGCTTTAGTAACCTCAGTTAGTGACGGAGGACCTGTGTCTATATCCCATTCTGGGAGGTGTTGGATGCTCGGAAGGTTGAGCGTGGCTGTGGGCAAATTAAACTGCTCCTCATAATGCTCTTGGGTTTACCTTATTCACAGCTTTTACAGCTGTATCTATGGCTGCCTGGATATTTTTCCAAGCTTCTTCAGGGTGAGCACAGCTGTCGAACACAGATATGTGTTTAGCTAGTTCTTCCTGAAATACGGATTTAGTTTCCTGATCGAGCTGGGGACGTGATGGTTTTACCGCCAGCTGTTTCCTACGTCCGTTCAGTCGTAAGCACACCCGAGCGCGGACCAGTGCATGGTCGGTATCTACGCACGTGTTCCAGAAGGAGCGACAATCTCCTACCGACCCACGCCAACGATAGCTTATTGCTATGTGGTCTATTTGTGTCCAGCGTTGGTTAGATGAAGGGGGTCTCCAAGTCAAACAGTGTCTCTCCTTGTGTTTAAAGTTAGTGCTTACAAGAAACAAATGATTATCAGAGCAGAACTGTAGGAGACGGTCACCGTTGTCGGTTCGCTGGCACGGAGCTCCATAGGTGCCACCGACATCCTTCTCAGATTGACACAATTTCCCTACTTGAGCGTTAAAGTCACCAGCTAGAACGACTATGTCTGAGCGTTTAGCCTTTCTCACCAAACTAGACAGCTTTTCGTAGAACTCATCCTTCGTTTCATCTGAACTGCAGTCAGTGGGGGCGTAGGCGGAGATTACGAAAAGGCATCGGCGAGTAGTGCAGTCCTTCCTCCTTCTTACTGATCCGTTCAGACGGACAGCACACATTCGGCTATCTACCGGGATCCAGTCAAGCAATGTCTTTTCTGCCCTAGTACTCAAAGCTATCCCTACGCCAGCTAATCCTCGTGAACTAGCTGTGGCATCTCCTGACACCCTCAAGGTGAATTTTGCAGATTCAACCTGTTGGCCGGGTGGGGTTAGGTGAATAACCACACTTGGGTCTTGTATGCGTGTTTCTGAAACACAGCATACATCAATGGCTCGTGATGCCAGGGTCTTGGCTAGTGATGCTTGTTGTCCTATTTGGCAAAGTGTCCTAACATTAAGAGCTCCTATATGAAATTGGTGGCGCGGCTTTAA